AGTAAGACTGTCTTATAGAAAATTGGGGGGGGGGTGCTGGAGAGATGCTCAGCAGCTAAGAGCACTGGCTGCTCTTGCAGAGGACCCAGGTTCAGTTCCCAGCTCCCATATGGTGGCTAACAACCATCTGTATCTCCAGTTCCAGGGGATCCGATGGCTGACTCTGGCCTCCTTGGGCCAAGCTAGGTCAACTCAAGTTAGGCAAAATCTCAGCAAAGAAATAGGGAAATGGTTAAGAAATCCCACCCCTAATGGGGGAAGTATTAGCATTAGCAAGTGGAGCACATACCAACACACAGACACCCACACACATAAATAGTAAAAAAAAAGTTTTTAGATTTTATTTATTTTTATATTTTTATGTGTATGCGTGGATTGCCTGCATGTAGGAAAGTGCACCCGTGTCGCACAATGCCCACGGAGGACAGAAGAGGCTGTTGGATCCCCTAGAACTGGAGTTATGGACAGTTGTTAGCTGCCATGTGGGTGCTGGGATTTGAACCCGGGTCTTCTGCAAGAACATTCGGTGTTCTTAACTGCTGAGCCATCTCTTCAGTCCCAATAGTAAAATTTTTAAAAAGAAAGATTGAGCCAGGCGTGATGGCACATGCCTTTAATTCCAGCTCTCAGGAGGCAGAGGCAGACGGATCTCTGTGAGTTGGAGGCCAGCCTGGTCTACATAGCAAGTTCCAGGTCAGCTGGAGCTACAGGGAGACCTTGTCTCAAAAAGATTTAAAAAAAAGAAAGAAAGAAAGGAAGGAAAGAAGAAAGATTAAACCAGGATGAATAAACTGTGGCCATCCCACCCCAAAAGAATTATAACCTCAGGACAAGGAGTACCCATGACACTAAACTGGGAAACATTTACAGAAGGTGAATGTGCTTGACAACATAAAACTGAAACATCCACACATATCACTAACTATCAGAGAGAAGAGAATTTCTTGTACTGTAGATGAAAGGAAAGGGCTTATAATATATAAAAAGCCCACACAAATCAACAAAGAGATCGAGCAAATGGAAAGCAGAAGAGATCTGGTTACACCAGTCACACAGTTCCCAAGAAATGAGGTAGGTGTTAGGACTCACCTGTGGAGCAAAATGTAGAAACTTCCATGGTGAGCAAGGTAGAGATGGAGCCTAGCTATGGGGGCAGGAGCCACATGTGGCAGAAAGCCAGCTTCCTGGGGCAGCCTTCTATTTTCTATCTGTGATTGAAACAAACTGAAGGAACAGCAACCAGGACAGCAAGTTCACTGAACAGGTGGTGGTGCAACCTCCAGGTACTGGGGATCCAAATGCAGGTCCTCAAACTTGGGGTCCAGCCCTAACTGACTGATCCAATCCACCCCCCACACTTTATCAAAGTTTAAAAGCCAGGTCAATATGCCTCCATGATGAAGTGCCCCTAATTCCCCCCTAGGTGGGTACAGGGCATTGCCAGCAGCCTCCTCAGCTCAGAACCCTCCCCCCATCACACAAGCCACCCAGTCAGGGCTTCCTGAGTGCCCTGCCCGGCCCACACCCAGTGCCATCCCCCTGCAGGCTGTGGCCAAAGTGCACCCCACAGCCTTGCACCCTACACAAGTGGGTGCAGATTCCTCTGATGCCCTGTGATGTCCCAGGGTCAGCCCAGCCCTGCTATGGTTGGCCCACAAGGCCTAGTTTGTGAGTTAATCCCTGGATCAGTCATCAAGACCCCAGACGTGGCTCCACACCTACCAGTCACAGCAGGGGTTTAAAAGTCAGGATTGGGCCAGCAAGGTGGCTCAGCGGGTGCTTGCTGCAAGCTGAGTTCAAGCCCTGGGACCCATGTGTGGAGAAAACTGGTTCCTGAAAGTATGTAGGCAAGGATGGTCCTGATCCTGAGCCTCCTGCTTCCACCTCCCCAGTGCTGGGATGACAGGCACCACACCTGGTTCATGTAGTGCTAGGGATGGAACCAAGGGCCTTGTACATGTTAGGTCAACTCTTCCCACAAAGCTATAATCACTCTGCCCACAAGCACTCTATCCCTGCACTATAAGCACTCAGCCCAGTGAGCCCAGCCCCAGCAGCTGCTTTTCCAGGACTCAACTTGATGTCACTCAATGGTGACCCCTCCCTCAACTGGTCGTACCTTGAGTCTTGGCAAACCAACTCCTGAGGGTACCAAGGTATAAGTCTGTGTGGGTTCATGGGTTCAGCACCCCCAATCCTGCCAGCTCAACTTGGCAATTTAACATGGAGGCTGCTGAGGGCACCCTGTGAGCTGGTGGACACAGCCTTGTGCCAATAAAACTGTGCTGACAAAAACCAGCTGGGACCACAATCAGTACAGTCCCGTGCCCCCTCACCTTGTTCCTGTGCCCCCCGCACCTCGTTCCTGCCTGTCACCATCCTACCAGCCCCCAGCAGTCTAGAGGGCACCAAGGATGGGCCCAGAGCCTCTCCATCAGGGAGATTGGGGCAGCAGTCATTTGTGTCATGTCACGATGGCACACATCAACACCTCTGACCCCGGTCTCTGATGGTCTGTGGGAAAGATGGCCACTGACCTGGAGGACTGTGGAGGGCTGCAGATGCCACCTGAGGCTCTGGGGCAGAGGACACAGCCCTGCAACAGCCCCAAGGACAGAGGACAGAGCACTGCAAAGGTCCCAGGGGCAGGATGGAGCCTGGTGTACTGAAGGAGCAGTGAGGAGGCCAGTGTGGCTAGAGCTGAGGAAGCCAGGGGCAGGGAGGAGGGGGGAGGGAGGAGGGGGCAGGGCAGGCACGACCCTGTGGGTTGCAGGAAGAACTTGGGCTTTGACAGGGAGGTAGGTGGGAGCCATGGAGGGGCGTAGGCAGAGGGAAGGACCTCAGCCAGTTTTTCAGCGGGCTCCTTCTGAAATGGGTGAGCCAGCGGAGGTAGCGAAGGCAGCAAGGGACGAATATGCTGGTCTAGGTGAAGGCAGAGGGTGGGACAGATGTGGGCAGATTCTGGGGTGATTTTAGAAGCAACACTGACATACTTTGGCGCCAGTTTAGATGGGTAGTAGGTAGTAGCGGGCGTGGAAGAGTGGGGAGAGGCCCAGGGATGCACTCACACCACAGCCCAAGCAGACCAGTCCAGGCGTCCCCAAGCACCCAGCCTTCCCAAGCCAAACCATACACCCACAAACTGCCCCAGCTGAGGCAGGCAGGCAGTCTTTCTGGGCCGGGCCTCCTGAGCAAGGAACCTTTAATGTAACCAGATTCTAAACACCAAGGAGATAGTTTCATCTCCCATCAGATTGGTGGAAATTACCAGAGCAGATAACACCCCCAGCTGGCAGGGATGTGGGGAAGGAACATGGGCACCACAAGCACTGGGAAGAATCAGGGCAGCCCTTCATCCTGTCTGCCACTGACCACATCAGCTGGGATTTGGACACTGAACACCCACTGTACATTCACTGGGCATCTACCATGTTCATTCAACCTAATCAACAGAAGCCACCAGAACCAGCCAAAGCAGAAGGCTGTGGGACTCCACAGAGGCAGGTATGCAGTTGGTGGTAAATAAATGCTAACACAAACTGCAATATTGATTCCTTTAACACAGTGAAGGCTTGAGGCCTCCAGCCCAAGGTCAGGGTAGGTCCAGGCAGCTCCCCTCTCTTTATAGCTGGGGGCACATGGAGGGGCTGTGCTGGGCAGTGGGACCCACACACAGTAGCTATGGGATTCTACAAAAATAACCAACTTAATGTGACATCTGTGGGTAGATATGAGTTCAGTGGGAGCCCTGCAACTGGGAGTGGAAACCAGGTGGTGTAGGTGGTTCCCCAGATTTCACTGACAGCCCTCTGTCTGAGACCCAGCTTTAACTAACCATCCCAAGCAAAGACCAGACTGAATGTTTACCCTGAGGCTTTCCTGGGGCCAGGGAGTCTGGAAGGAGCTTGTTTATGACCATGTCACAGGGTTGAGGGGGTTGGGGGGCCAGAGGAACAGGTGACAGAGAAGGAGGGCAGGTGGCTGGCGGGAAGGAACCAGGTCAGCTACCACGGGGTACCAGATGGCCGGGAGGAAGGAGGTGAGACCTGGGGGTAGAAGAGCCCCTGTTTCCCTGCCTCATCCTCCTACCTCTCTGGTCCCCACCAAGAGTGGTCCCAGAGGCCCCCGGATGCCCATGTGGTAATCACACAGCCCAAGCTGCAGATGTCTGCCACCGTGTACTGTTGGGGGAAACCTCAGGTTTTGCCAGGAAGCTGGCTTCACAGGCTAGGTCAGCATTTGGAAGATTTGGGGGTGGGGGGAGCCCAGGGAGACAGCACACCTGCTCAACCAGCCAGGATGAAGATACCTTAAGCCATCGTCCCTTTATCCCCATATTTTAAATGGAGGCAAACTCGGGCACAGAAATAAGTGCTGGTGTGTGTATAGGGACGAAACCAGAAGGTGACAACTGCAAGACTGCCAGCCCAGCACTGTGGCCCCCCAAAGGAGGGGTCGCATGGAGGACACTGTCCCCTCCCTAGCCACACAGTGTCTCGTAGGTGGGGTGCCCCCCCACTAGAATGGGGTGCCCCAGCATCCCACACACTGTAAAACAGACCCCTGGGCACAAACCCATAGGAGCAAGTGCGACTTGACGGTCCCTAACACCTGCAGCAGAAGGGTGCTCCAAAAGGGGTTAGCTCCACCTTCAAATGTGAGGACCCCTTCCCCCTTACGCTCATGGAAGGACTCGCTCTACCCACAGGCTGCCAGGATGAAGATGTGTACCTACTCCCGCACCCAGATAGACTGTGTCGGCCAAGGACCCCTAAACCGGCCGATCAACCCGAGCCCCGCATCCCTGGGCGGGGCGCTGCAGAGGGCCGAGAGCTGACCTCCCCCCTACCCAGGATGGAACGCTCCGGCGTCCCCCGCGCGGCCTGCGAATGGAACGGGCCGACGGGACTCAGCGCAGCGCACCGCGGCCGGGCGAGCCCACGGCGCCGCGGCGAGGGGGGGGACGAGACCATTCCCACAGACGGGAGGTTCCGACTCACCTGCCGCCGCCCCGCTCTCCAAAGACCAGGCGGCCTCCGCGGTCACGGCCCCCGCTTCGGCGCTCTCCGCCTCTTCCGGCACCTCCAGCTCCATGGCCGAGAGCTCCGGCGGCGGCGGCGGCGGGCCCGAGGCTGCACCCGAGCTCGGCCGCCGCCGCTGAACAACAAGCGCAGCCGGCACCACAGGGCGGAGGGAGGGGCGCCGGCGCACGGGGAGGCGGGGCCTAGGCGGGACCTGGCGTCGATGCCAGTGCTCAGCCAATCGCAGACCGGAGGAGGGGCTTAGCAGCGGTGCCCACTCAGGAGAGGTGCGCGCGCCCTCAGGCGTCCAGAGGGAGAAGAATTGAGCGGTTGACCCTTAGCACTGCGCAAACCCTGGGGCTAACAGTAGGGGGTGGGGCTTGGAGACGAAGTGGAGCCACAGAGGCGAGATCCAGATGAGGCGCGATCAACGAGCGCCCCCCAAGTGTCCACAAAAGGAAGTATAGTGTCCGTAAACCACTGAGAGGAGAGCGGGGAGCCGAGCTAGGGGCGGAAGGAATGAACAATCAGAAATCGGGGGCGGGGGCGGGATTCAGGTTGACTCAGGCGCGCCCCCAGGCGTATAGAGAAGGAAGTCCAGCTGGCTGCTGCTCATGGTTTAGGTGCACCACAGAACAGATGGCAGAGGGCTGCAAGGGGGCAGGGCCTGACGCAGTCGCACGCGGTGTAGCCAATCAGACACCAGGGGGTGGAGCTTACGTCCAGGGGTACTCAAAGGAGCCCCTAGGTGTCCAGAGACAAGCACATCTCACTATTTTTGCACCACAAGATACCGAGAGGAACGCAGGCAGGGGTGGGGCTAAGGGCGTGGCCTAGAAGCAACCAATCAGAGACAGGGGCGGGGCCTAGGTGGGTCCGACCCAGGAGCGCCCCTGGGCGACCACGGATAGAAGGACACTGCACTGTTTGTGTAATATTTTCTTAACTACCCAGTAACACCAAAGACAACTGCACTATCACTCCACAGGTAACATCAAATTCTGCTATTTACATCAAACATTCCATTATAGGTATTTCATTCCATTATAGGTATATTTCATGCGTGTTATTTATCATTATTTTAAATATATTGTTAAGTAATTTAACAGTAACAGTAATTCTATCATTTTTTAAAGCAGCGACATGTAGCCCAGGCTGGTCCAAGGTGCTATGTAGCAGAGGATGACCCTGAACTTATCTTCCTGCCTTAGCCTCCCCAACTCTGTGGTGACAACGTGTGCCACTCTGTCAGGCCTCTAAGAAAACTCTGTAAGAATTCTTTGCTATGCGTCATGGGCAGAATTGAGCCAGGCTGATTCACACCAGCAGTTCTCGAAGTGTGGTCTCTGGAACCCCAGGGTCAACCTCTCCTGCTGCCTGTGAGAAACCTAGTGGCTGGGGCCGAAGAGATGGCTCAGCAGTTAAGAGCACTGCCTGTTCTTGCAGAAGACCGGGGTTTGGCTCCCAGCACCCACATAGCAGCTAACAACCATCTGTAACTCCAATTCCAGATCTGATGCCCTTTTCTGATTACTGTGGGCATTTCATGATATGGGTGCACTTGCACACATGCAGCCAATACACTCATACACATAAAATAAAAATTAATTAATTTTTTTGTTGTTGTTTTGGTCTTTTTGAGATAGGCTCTCCCTGTAGCCCCAGCTGTCCTGGATTCACTATGGAGACCAGGCTGGCCTCAAACTCACAGAGATCTGCCTGCCTCTGCCTCCCGAGTCCCAGGATTAAAGGCGTGCGCTACCACGCCCGGCAATTAATTAATTTTTAAAAAATTTAAAAAGGAAACCCAGGTGGCCCAGCCTTCTTGTATCAAAAGTCCCTCCAGAGACATGAACACACCTGCTGAGTGCTCAGAACCTCTGTCTTGGGCACCAAAGGAAGGAAAGAGGTCATGAGTGCGCTAATCAAAAAGAAGCAAAGTAAAAAACAACAAAACAGCCAGCCGGGCGTGGTGGCGCAGGCCTTTAATCCCGGCACTCGGGAGGCAGAGGCAGGAGGATCTCTGTGAATTCAAGGCCAGCCTGATCTACATAGTGAGTTCTAGAACAGCTGGGGCTACAGGGAGACCCTGTCTCAAAAAGACCAAAAAAAAAAAGAACAACGTTCTTGGAGAAGACGGGTTCAAATCCCAGCACCAACATGGCAGCTAATAACTGTTCCGGGGATCCGACAGTCTCTTCTGACCTCCGCAGGCATTGCACTTGCACAACACGGGTGCACTTACCTACATACAGGCAATACATGAATACATATAAAATAAAAATAATAAATTAAATAAAAAAAGATTTAGCCGGGGTGGTGGCGTAAGCCTTTAATTCCAGCACTTGGGAGGCAGAGGCAGGAAGATCTTTGTGAGTTCTAGGACAGCTGGGGCTGCAGGGAGACCCTGTCTCAAAAAGACCAAAAATAAAAAAAAAAAGAAGAGAGATTTAGAGGTGGGGGAAGTCAGTGCCAAAATAATGCATTAAGAGGTGGAGGCGTGGCTCAGAGGTAGAGTAACAGCCTAGAATCCCCAGTGAGGGCTGGGGGCGTGGCTCAGGGTAGAGTGACAGCCTAGAGTCCCCAGTGAGGGGCTGGGGGGGGTGGCTTAGCTTTGAGTCCTATCCTGTGTGAGACCCCGGCTTCATCCTGGCTAAGGCTGACACTGGACACTGGGTGCAGGAGAGGTTGGAAGCACTAACCATTTGTGTTGCTCACAGTGTTTTCTGAGCACCTACTATGGGGCGTCCCTGGGTGCTTCCAGGCTTCGGCCTGGATTGGCCTCTGGGTGCTCAGGGGTTAAGGCTGGGTTCTGCCACGTGAGAGCACCTTGCGACAGAGCCACACACCCTCCCACCTGCAGGCCGGCCTCTCACAGTCACCCACTGGGCTGCGCACACTGCCGCGCTGGTTCCACCCGGCAGTTCCCTGCGCTCCACCGGGGCCAAGTTGAGCGAACAGGTCATTGCGTGAGAGCAGCCTCGGGTCTCCTCCCCAGCGTCCATGCCAAGTGGGCATCCAGGGCCCACCCCTTGCCATCTACCCTGAGTCCACCCAGCTTGCAAGACAGGTGAGTGGTGCCCAGCTCAGCCCATCGCACAGGGAGCGTCCATCCAAAGACCCCTCACGTCAAGCTCTGGGAAGCCCCCAAGTTTCCTCTGCCTGCTCCCCAGCGAGCCGGAAGCTGGCATGTTTCTTGGGCATCTGACACACTTCCAGGAGACTCTGGCTGGGTTTCTTTCCCTGGCATCCTGCCGGGGACGCCACAGCCGAGCCTTCAAAGGGCCATTGTGAGCGCAGGTGGTGGCGGGGTAGGTGGGGACACCGGAGGGTACAGAAGGGATGGCAGGTTGTGGGGAAGGGATCCCACAAAGCACCCCAGGGCAGCCTGGGATGGTGTTGGGACATGGCAGGCAGTTACCTATGCACCTGGCCTGCTTCTCAGTTTTTTTTTTGAACTCTCAGCAGGGACACCCCTAAATTTCCAAGGTGTCTGTTACACACTGTGGGGGCAAGTGAGAGTCTGGTCCTTTATATCCAGAAGCCAAATCTGTCAATTGACAATTATACAGTGGGAGCCTGATAGGCAGAGAGAGGAGTCAGGTGAAAGGAATCAGTTTTGCGTCATTTGCCCCCAAACAAGGAAGACAAAATTATATTCCTGGCTGAGACCAGCTGCACCTGAGGGACTGGGGAGGGCCCAGAGGGGGACATGTGTCCACTGTAAGGTGCCCTCCCCATCCTAGGAACCTGAGACTTGTAGCCCCTTTTTGCAGCAGCCCAGTTTCCTAGCCCAGCCTCAGTTTCTCATTCTGCACTGCACAGCTCATAGACAACCAGGTCCTTCAGAGCAGTCAAGGACACAGGACAGATGCTGTGTCAAGCCAGCCCCACTTTCCAACGAAACTTCCTGCTTTGCCCAAAATGAAACGATGCCCAGAGAGGGTGAGCTTCTTCCCTGGAGCTGCACAGGATGTAGGGAGGTCACAGACATAGAAGTGCGGAGGCCTGGGGGCTGGCCCCCTCCACCTCTGCCCTAGGCTCCACATCTAGAAAAATCCCTGCCTGTCGGGCCTGGTGCTTCCCTGTGAGCCTGACTTCTGGGGAAAGTCCACGGCTGAGTTTGGGCTCCGTCCTTCCTCTTGGACCTGGCCAAGCGCCAGAGAGCCCGAGTTTGCACAGGGTGGAGCCCAATACTCTTCTAAATGGACTGAGGTCAGTGGGACACACAGCCACAGGGACAGGCTGCCTAAACAGTGAAACTAATTTATTGAGCACCTACTGTATATCAGATTTATTGTGAGCAAAATCCAGAGGTCCAGTAATTTTATTTTGTATTTATTCAGTTTTTGGAGACAGAGTCTTAGGTAATTCAAGCTGGCTTGGAACTAAGTAGGCATGATCTTGGACTCCTGATCCTTCTACCTCCACCTCCTGGGATAAGAGGCTTGTGCCACCACACCTGACTTATTTTATTTGAGAAGATGGGGACCGTGGGGGGACAAGATGGTATTTGAGTAAAGATTTGAAGGACATGAGTAGTTGTCTAAACTGATGTTGAACACAGATACAAACAGAAGGATGTCCCAAGGCCCTGTGGCAGAGGACACAGCCGTGCAAAGTCCTGGGGCAGGATGGAGCCTGGCGTGTTAGAGAAGCAAGGAGGACCCTGTAGCTGGTGCAGAGGGAGCAAGAAGCAGAGAGGGAGGAGGAGGGCAGGGAGGATGGGGCAGGGCTGGCAGGACCCTGTGGGAGGATCTGGGCTTTGACAGGTCTGGTTGTGGGCAGAAGAGGGAGCTTCTGGTGGTCACGCGCGCCCTCTGGTGGCTGCTGAGGGGAGGACTGGGTGAAGGTAGGATCAGGTGGACAGGTTGAGCTGGTGTAGATGGAGATGGGGAAGTAGGAGAAATGGATAGATTCTAGTAGGGCAGCACCGGAGGCAGAGAGGCAATGGGAAGCAAGGGAAGTGGGAGGTCCAATGTGACCTGTGATGTTAGAGTTAACAGGTGAAACGCAGATACACTGTGGTGGCAAACGCCTGCCCTGGGAACTATTGGAAGTTCTTGAGTTGTCCTTGCTTACTAGCTGTGACCCTGTGGGGTGCACATTCTTCCTCATGTGCTTCCATGTGAGCTGTACCCTGAACTATCCCCAGCAATCAGAATAGTAGTTGGTATACAGTAGGCATGCCATAAATGCACAAATAGACCCCAGGGGACTGGGGTCACCTAAGGTTTTCAACATAGTGGAAAGCTCAGCGGTGTAATGATAAAGACAGATGCGGGCTCAGCCACAGTGCCCATGTGGACTGAGAAATGTCCCCAAATCCGCAATGTTGGGAACTGCAGAGGGACATGGAGGGACCTGGAGAGGCTGACCTAGAGGGAAGATGAAAAACCCAGGCTAGGGGCTGGGGAGGTGGCTCAGTGGGTATAGCACTTGCTGCACAGGCATGGGGACCTGAGTTCGAATCCCCAGAACCCATGTAAAAAGCCAGGAATGGTGGTGCACACTTTTAATGCTAGCACTCTTGGGAGGCAGAGGCAGGTGGATCTCTGTGAGAGTGAGGCCATCCTGGTCTACAGAGCCAGTTGCAAGCTAGCCTGGCCTACATAGTGAGACCCTATCTCAAAAGTCAAACAAAAAGACTGAAACACAGATAATAAACCCAGATTGCAGACCAAGGTGTTGAGAAAGACATCAAGACACCAGGTACTCCATCTGGCCTTGCATTAAGAATTTTGGGGAGTGGGGACTCTCTGGCACGAGGACATCAGATGGCACCTTTGATTTTCCACACTGCCCCACAGCTACAAAACTGCTTCCGGATTCACTCTTACAACTCGGCCCCTCCTGGTTGCAGTTGGTACTGCAGTCTCAGTAGCAAAATTCCTGATGCAGTTCTCAGGGCATTGTTCTTTTCTATCAACACTGCCCTCTCTTGGCTGATATCGGTATTGCAGTCTCACATGCATGAGGACCCCACCCAACAACAGGTCAGCTAGGAAAGTCCTTCTTGCGCCTTTAGATATCTGCTGTCTTCTCCCAAATACAGCTGTGAGAACAGGAGCTTCACTTTACATATGGGGAAACTGAGATAGGGCATGGCTGGGTTGGGATTGGTTCTGGAGCCTGCTCCACTTCTTTCATAAGTTTCCTAGGCCTGGCTTGCTCCAGAGTCGGAGAGAGAAATACACCCTCAGTTGGTTCCCTCCTTGGTAACCCTGATGTAAGCTTCTAGAAAGTTCCATAGGACTTTTTCATCTGTATTTTGTTCCATTTTTTAAAATATTGCATTGTCGGGGTTGGGGATTTAGCTCAGTGGTAGAGCACTTGCCTAGCAAGCGCGAGGCCCTGGGTTTGGTCCTCAGCTCCGGAAAAAAAAAAAAAAGTAAAATCTTACATTGAGATGAGGTGTTCTGAAATCAAGCTGTCCTGGAACTCATTATATAGTCTAGGCTGGTCTCAAACTCACAGCAGTTCTCCTGCCTCAGCTCTACCCCCAAGTGCTGGAATGACAGGTGTGTGCCACCATACCTGGCTTCTGTCAGTTTTGATAATTTTTTTATTTTTAATAATTAGTATTGTGTAAACGCAGCCATGTACATGTGCATGTGGAGGTCAGAGGACTTTAGAGGGGTCAGTTCTCTCCTTCCTCCATGTGGGGTCTGGAGATCCACGGCAGGTTGTTGTACTTGTGACGCAGACTCCTTCATCCCCCAAACCCTCACTGGCCCATCTGCTCTTTTTTTTTTTTTTAATTTGCATTTAGGTGTATGAATGCATTGCCTGCATGCATGTAAGTGCACCACGTGTGTGCAGTGCCCAAGGAGGTCAGAAGAGGGCGTCAGATCCACTGGAACTGGAGTTACAGACAGTTGTTAGCTGTCATATGGGTGCTGGGAACCAAACCTGGGTCCATGGCAAGAGCAGCCAGTGCTCTTAACTGCTGAGCCAGCTCTCCATCCCCCTGCTGGTCTTTAAAATGGCTATTTAAGCCAGGCATGGTGGCCCACGCCTTTAATCCCAGCACTCAGGAGGCAGAGGCAGGCAGATCTCTGTGGTCTACATAGAGAGTTCCAGGCCAGATGGGGCTACTGGGAGACCCTATCTCAAAAAAGACTATAAAAAATAAATAAATAAATAAAATTAAATAAAATAATAAAATAAATTAAATTAAAAAAATAAAATGGCTGTTTAAGCTGGGCTTGGTAGTGCCTACCTTTAGTACCCTCAAACCAGGACTGTGTTCTCTCCATCTAGTCACCACCACACAGTATGTCCTCCCTACAGCAGCCAGAGGGCACCCAAGAGCACTGAGTTGGTTTGCTCCCTCCTCTCCCCACAGCCCTCCATGGCTCCCACCTTCCTCCAAGTCAAAGGTCAAGTCCTCCCTGTAGCCCACAGGCCCTGCCCAATATGCTGCCCATCCATCCCCTCCCTGGCCTCCCTCCTCCCTCTCTGCCCTTTGCTTCCTTTGAACAGCCTCCCTACATCCACATTCCAGGTTTCATCCTGCCCCAGGGCCTTTGTACAGCCCTTTCGGACCTTTATGCCATCTGAGCCTTCTGCCTTCTCCAGATCTGACTTCTCCCTGAGCCTAGATCCTTCTCTCCCAGGTCACCTCCTCCACACAGTCCCCCTGAAGTCCCCTGTTCCAGCAACTCCTCCCTGCTGGCTGATGTCACAAGTTTAAGTAGTGTTTTTGTTTTTTTTTTTAATTCATTTATTTTTATTACATGTGTGAATGTTTTGAATACATGTATGTAAGTGACCCATGTGTCATGTAATGCCCACGGAGGCCAGAAGAGGGCGTTGGATCCCCTGAAACTGGAGTTACAAATAGTTGTTAGCCTGCATGTGGATGCTGGCTTCTGACAGTGCTCTTAACTGCTGTACCAACTCTGTAGACTCTAAGTTGTAGGGGTTTTTTTGTTTGCTTATTTAATTATTCCGTTTCTGTCTGTCTTCTTGTGGCCTGTCTCCTTAGGGGCCCCAACCCTGTGTACACAATAGGAGCTCAATAAATACTAAGGGCTGTATTATCTTTGGGGAATTCTTAAGTTCCGG